ATTATTTGGAATACTCTCTCACTTCGTTAAAAAATATAGCGAATTTACACTAGAGAAAAGTAAAACAATACACTCAAGCAATATGAAGTGAAAACAATACCAAAACGCGTGTCATTTTTCTAACATTGTTGCTGCATGCTAAAATAAGAGTACATATACGTATTTATTTTTATTAAAATGTATGCATGTGTAATAAAATTGTATAATTGTGTTCTGCTGAAGCACAAAATTTTCAAATTCGCTACGTCATGTTGGTATTATGTTCCGTATATATACATGTGCATATGTATGTATGTAGTTGTGWTCTACAACTCTTCTGTTAAAATTATGTAACTTTTCCTTTTAAATTTCATGTAATAAATTTTAACAATTACAACAAATGCTGTGCATATGTATGTTAAGTGGTTAAAAAAAAAGAAATTTCTTCTAAAATTTGCTACAAGAAATGTTTTAATTGTATTGCTGCATAGCAACTCTAAAATTTTCTGTGAATTCAATTAAGAATTCAATATTTTCTTCAAATTATAATCCATGTATGTAAATGTATGGTTAGTAGTAAAATAAAATCTAACGCCCCCCTATTAAATACTAGTACTTTTTGCACGTATGTACTTCCACACGATCCGCCTTTTCACAAATTTATATTATTATTTTTTATTGTATAATTCCCTATTTACTGTACTTAAATTGTAGTATAAAATTTATAAATTATTATAAAAAAATTAAATGATGAATTCACATACACATACAGACACATTTAGCTTTCTACCTAAGATTCTTTTCGCGTATTATTAATACAAGAGAAGAAGTAAAAAACAAAAAACAAATAAATCAAATAATGAAAAACTTCGTAGTATAATTAAATATACATTTTATGTAAATGTTTATAAATTATAAATGAGAAATAATAAAATGAAAATGCGATAAAACAAAATCTAGAGAAAAATACAACTTTTCTTTGCTCTCTGGTCTGTCTATGCGCTGTGTAAAGTTTCTTTAGAATCGTTTTACTATTTGCTGCTCTGCTGTGATTTCTATAAGACTAAAATATTTATTAGCTTTTTATAAAACAAAAAATTTGTCTCTAATTTTTATCAACGTATAACGTCTACCAAGGTCTCTCTGTCTCTTCTTAAGATTTCTTGCAAGCTTTTCTATTGAAACCGTCTCCACTCTGCTATTTACGTTATTTACTTAAGTTTCACTAATCTAATAGCGGTATTTGTTTAAGCGACCATTTACTAATTTCATATTTTTATACATATACGCACCTTATTTCTTTAAAAAATGCCATTTTGAAATCAAGATATACGCTTTTTTACCTACTACCTTAATTTAACAGCACTCCTGTATTTTTATTAACATTTTTTGCGTATACAAAAAAAAGGAATCAATTTATAAAAGATATTGCTAATTCATCCGATAAAAATAACAATACTTATGCATTAATTTGAGGGAAAACTTATCATAAAGTAATTTTATGCAAATGTAAACAGCCCACTTAATAAAAATGTAATACATAGATGATAAATACATATAATGGAAATTTTATTCTTACTTACGGAATGTGAGTTGTGTCAACAAAATAGGTGCTGAGATGATAGATTTTGTGGCGGTGCAACTATTTAGGAGCCGATTGCTTGCTGTAAAATCTCCATTCCTTTTCACAACCACCCACCTAATAGCATTTTCAATTTAAATTATTGCAACTTCCCTTAATATATGTTAATTATTCAATTATTAAAAATTAAAATTATGAATTAATTTTTCAATTAAATTATTGAAACGTCACTTCATTGATTACAAGCACATTGCAGCTATTATCGTAACTGCACTAAAAATACCGCTACTACTTTCATGTATAGTGAGAAGCATTGCCCGAATTTATTCGGTATTTTCGCGTCGGTATTGTTACAACGCAGCACTTTACACTGTTTTGAAGTTATTGATACGAAGTTAAACTTTTATTTCATTATTTATTAACTTAACACCATTAATGTAACTACTATTCTTAAGTTTAAAAATTGAAATTACGCTTTACGATCAGCAAACGAAATATCAAAAAGGCGGAAATGCTACAGCAGCATATTGCCAATATGAGCTAAAATTTAAAAGAAGCTTTTAAGGTTGCCATACTTGGTAACTGCAATTTTATGGCGATAGCTTTAACGATATATCATGTTTAATATAAACTCATCTCGCATTTAATTATATTATTTTAATTTAATAATTCTATTTTAACCGTCACCATATTAGCTATTTATTTTATAAAATATTTATGTTCTATGTATTTTAATGCTTCGGCTGTGTTTAGTAATCTTAGGGCTTTGCATTTCGTGCAACCATGCATCTGGTCCAATCAGCTGTTTGCAAACGTCAATGGAAATAAACAAAAATATTTGTGGCAACGAATTACAAAATTTATATTTTTCCTTAATTTGTGTATATTTTTAAATAAAACTAGTGAAATTTTGGTGGTGGTTTTAGTAAAATGGGTTTTCCACGTATATTAAGTAAAAATAATAAGATATATACGAAATTGGGTGAGTTTTGCTTGTCGGGTGATGCAAGTTTCTGGATTGTTTGTCAAGTGTGCCAGGAGGAGCTACAGACACAAGATCAATTTTGGAAACATATACAAGATGAGCACAACTTCATGCATGGCTTGGGATTTAAACAGGTGAGTTGTGTACAAATTATTGCAAATGTAAACATGCTTAGACTTAACTGTTTTGTGTATAATTTGTAACAGGAACAAGCACGAAATTATATGGAGCCTGAGGCGACCACAACACACATTATGCCTTTGCCATTATATCGTAAAGTGAATGAAGAAGAACTGCGTGCCAGTGGTGCACTTGAGCATGGTGGCGATAATTCACAAGAAAAACAAGAGCCAAAGGACTATACAGAAATGCGCGCCATCGAACCGAATGCCGTAGAAATTGACATAAAAGTCGAACCGCCTAGTATAAGACATGCATTAGCATTGGCACCACCACCACCCGTACCGCAGAATGTACACTCCGTTGGTAACGTTGCTGCAAGCGCCGGAACTGGTGTCGCACATCAAAACGTTGAGGTAAGCACAGCTACGCCAGCCTTATATCAACTGCCACAAGTGACACCAGCACCAAGTTCATATGGCACCACAATTATACACAGTGCACCGACCCTAACACACACAATGGGTATGTCAAACGCAGCGGCGGCTGCGGCCTTGATGTCCCAAGAAATGCCAAAAGAATCAAATAGCACTACGGCGAGCGCCAGTAGTGCGATGTCGTCAGAAGATGGTGAACGTTGGTATGTATGCGATTATGAAACCTGCGGCCTAAAGTTCAAATATCAGTCACGTTTAGAGTTGCACCGGGCTGTGCACAGTAAAGAGCGACGTTTTGCGTGTGAGCTTTGTGGCGCCTCGTTCAAGCAATCGTGTAACCTGTCGACGCATCGTAAGAAAAAACATTTTCTGAAAGGTTCAAAGGGACTAGTGCCGCAGCGTTTTTAAAATGCAACGCAACAAAACAAATTATAAATTGATTTTTTTTTTAATTTGTACACTGTTTTTATTATTTCTATACTTTTTTGCGTCATTTGCAAATGTAGTTGCAATATTACTTTTTAGTACCAATAACAAAAACTAGTGTAGTTTATAAGGAAAAATAGCCTTTTAAAAATACAAAATATTTCACTTTTAAAAGAAATAAAGAAGTGAAGTTGAGAAATATATTATATTTTTCCCAGAAATTCGTGCAAGTTCAAGTTTAGTCTTAAGAAAAATTGTTTTTTTTTTTCTTTAGTGTTAAGGCATTTCTTTTGAAATACATATTTACAAAAATATATATATACTTTTTCTATACTGTATATGTAAATAACATTTTACATTATTAAGTGCAAACGCACAAAGTATTGTAAAATGTGAATGTTTGATTGTTAACAGATCAAACGCGATGGTACAATTAATATGTTTTTAAGATTTTAGTGGATAATAAATTCTTTTTGCCCCGATTAAGTACAAAAATAAAATTTCTTGTTTTTATTATAAACTATGGAATAAATAGAGTCTGATCATACTTATTTTTATTTGGCCTGATACAGTTTTGTTACGACCACAGTTGAATTTTCAAATACAGTTTTTTAATCACTCATCAATAAAACTGTTTATTTCGCAATTTCTCTTTTCTAAAAATATATGTATATGTATGTATAGTTTCGTCTTATAAATAACTTTAATTATTATTGGAGAAAGATTAAATTGCCTTTACCCGGAATGTAGTTAATATTATTATATACCGTAATAGTATTATATACTGCCATAACATACTATTTTCTACGCTCAATATCGGCGATCGAACTACTTTACATATGTGTTGTGTAAATTTTAAATTTTGTTTAAAGACATAATTAAAAAAAAAATACCTTCAAGTCTTTCACTCATCTTGCTGTTTAACATAATGATTCGGAATGATTTATTGCGACGGATTTAGTTTTTTTGCCTGGAATAATATTCTTAACACTAAAATATATGGAGCTTACTGCATATTTCAACATGAAATATTAAGTTTCACCCACTAAAAACTTCTTCAAATACTGAATCGACACTATCGGTATTTTCTTGATCGTTACGCGCCCGTTTATAATCGCCATTTTGCCCATTTGACGTTTCCTTTATGCAGAGAAAATCACAGCCATTATTTTCGACGTCCGTTTTATTTAACTGTTTTCGCTTCAAACGCTCATGTGCTTTATTGAAGTATGTCATAGTACGGTCTTTGAAGATGTTGAGCGTTTGTTCAGGGAACTTTTCGCGAAACACTCCTGCAAACACAATGTTACAAAGAATTATAAAAAATAAAACTTTCCTGTACCTTGAAAGACGTCTAGCATAGTCATATCCTTAATTGGATATTTAATAATTTTGTCGGCGGTTACGACACCGCGCCAACAGAACTGATTGGATACTTCATCTGTCATAATGAAACGCCAAAGTACACGACAAAATACATCAGCATTCTCGGTAGCTATAGCAAGTGTTTCTTCGTGCTAAAAGTGTATATACAAAATTCCGTAAATTTTAGTATACTACTTGTCTACATTACAACTTACAAGTGCGTCCCGCATCTCTTTGCTATGGTGTAGCTCATCATCCAAAATGAGCACTTCGTCGCGGCTGTTAAAAGGCTGATCTGGTATTATTTTCATATATCGCTTTAGCATACGATTACCAGGTTCTTTTTTCAATTCAGCCTCAATTAGTTGCACTGCTTGCGTTAGCTTATTGAGCTTGTATTTGAATTCATTGTTAGCGCGTTGCATTTGTTGAAATACGCTTTTCAATAGTGTGCCATTCTCTAGCAATTGCTTGGGTGTAAGCTTATCGACATCTATGTTGGTTTCGAGCTTACCATTTGCGTTTTGGGACTGAAGCTCTTTCTCCGACTGGTTGATGTCAACTGAAATATAAAGCTTGTTTAAGTTTAAAATGTACCATTAAAGTGCTGTGCTAACTTACTTTCATGCCTGTTCCCTTTATGTTGTACACTACTTCCTACAACGGGTTGCGTTTCGGTTGGCTTATCCTTGAAGTCTAAAAATGTATTTGTTATGTCTGTTAGCTCCATAAGCGCATTTGGATCATTTAACGAAACATTTTCTAGATACTCAGCTTCGACATACATTGGCGCCCCATTAGTAACCACTTGAGCCGAATTTGTTTTACATTTTTTTGCATCAACCGTACCATCCAGACAAATTGGCGTAGTGCAAATACTCTCACTATGCTCACTATTGAAATTGGTTGTTTGCGACTTTTCACGCATCACACAAAGTTGTGCTGGTGCATAGTCATGCATCTCTTGTATGTGCGTCCAGAGAGCGTTTTCATTGTGATGTTCTTGCTGGCAGAAACAGCAAATGATACAGCACTGATTTGGTTCTGCTTCTGTAATACAATAATCACCAAACTTTTGATAAATTTTATTATTTTGTCCAAGAATGCGCGTGATGTTCATATTTTCCGGATAACTTGAATCGGTAATTCTTGAGCTTGTAGGCAGTAACTAATGTGCGTACAGTGACAATTTTTCAACTTTCAAGTTATTATTCAATCGTTTTAGTAATAGTAAAAGTTTAGTGTAGAATTGCCAAAATGCCGCTATTGGCACAAAGAACTTGTGTGTAATAAGCAGAGGATGCATGTAAATATGCACTGAATTGCATTTACAGGGTTGTATTTGTGATAAGAGCTCAAAAAATAAAATGGTAACAGTTTTAAAGCTTTTGAAGAAAAATATTTGAGAGCTTATGTAAATTTTATAAACAAATTTTATTCTGTGACACAATTTAAATATTTGATAACCCGGTTTTGAAATTTCTGCATTTCATTTTACCGTTAATTCCAGTTCCTTCTTCTCATTTGAATCATTAAAATTTCTTTAAAAATATTACAAATACTTAAAATTCAAGTGCAAATTAATTTATGTGTTTAGTAATATATTTTTAAAGTAAACAACTACGCTTAAGCATATACATACATATACAGTTTTCCTAACGCCTTTAAATAAATACAAATTTGCTGTTGATTTTCTTATACATGTTTTACTCCAAAATATTTTTTGCAAAGTCTGATATATGCAGAACACCATAACGTTCAGAGGCCACGTGTAAATTTCTGCCATTCACCAATTTTGAATTTATATGCGGATTGTGTAGTTCAGAGATCAGTGTGCTGCAAGCAGCGGCGGGGTCGCCTGAACCACTTAGAGAGCCCTAAAGAAAACAATAGTTTAATTAGAAACCGAAATTAATAACAAATGTGATTTCATACGCACCAACCAAAATTCATTGCCTGGCAAAGCGTTACCATCCCACGCATACGACTCCACAATTAAGGCACTTTCGTATTCCGCTGGCTACAATACAATTTTAAACAAACATATACTACAATGAGATAAATGACTAATTTAACAATAGTTTACCAATTTCTGCGCGGGATTGCGATTGTTTATCAATATTTTAATGCCGCCCCTAGGATGCGTCTCCGTTGTCAGTACGGCGCCATCGTATAGCACACCACAAGCGTTTTCTTTGAAATGCGAAAATTGCACTACGTCGATATGCGTTAAGCGCGGTGCTAACGTCAGCAGGCGTTCGCCAAAAGTTGCCAAAAATATTTTATATTGATGCTGTACTATACGCCAAACACCCAAGCCAAAGCCAACAACATGCAGATACACCTGATTGTCAGCCAGCGCACCGCGCACATTTGCCTCCAGTAGCAGCGTATCAAAAGAGATGGCATAACGCCGCTTCATCAGCACATTGTCGAATATGAATTCGGTATTCGGCACTTTGTAATAGCGTGGCGTGTCTAATGCGCACACCTGCTCAAAAAGTTGATCGTGCGCCTCATAGAAACTGGTCCAAAGCTGACGATAGCCAACAATACGTTTATCTGTCTGTTCCAACTCACTTATATTATAGCCATAACCGTGTGCTTTCGTATTTTGCGTGGGTGTTATGACTATATCCTGCCACTCCATGACATCTGGCACCTCAAAGCGTCCACCAATCATGCCAACAATAACACCAGATGGCTCAATTTTCGATTTATCCTCTTCAATGACGCCACAATTGAAACGATTACCATCGTTGAGAAACTCTGTGTGCGAGGATACGGAGAGGAAAGCGGAAAGCTGCGATATGAAAAAAAAATAAATTATTTAATGCTAATTTGTGCATATATTTGAGTTGGCTTACACACTTTTATCTCATCGTAGCTGAGCACATGTTTCAGCCGCAGGTTCCCACTCTCAGCGCTTGTGCCAACATCATGGAAGCCGCCGAAACCCTCTTGTCCATTTAAGAGCAAATAGTTATCGTCTGCGCCCATAAAAACCACGCACCGCTTTTCCAGTAAACGTTGTACCAAAGCGGTGAGCGCCATGCCATTGTAGAAGGTGCGTTCGATGTCATTACCTAAAAGATAACGGTTTATAATTTAAAAGTAGCAAGAAATTTGTGTAAAGCTAACGTAGTTGTTGTTGCTGTGGTAATATAAAATATATAACCCTATGCGCACGGACGATTAAATATAAGAACTCGTGCTGGCAACGTTCCGTCCCTGTTGAAAACGACTATAAAAAAGTGCCAGTCGCGCATTCAAAGTTTAGTAGGTCAGATATGATCCGTCGATCTAAATTTGTTTGGATCGATAAGCTGTATCATAAGACTCGATCTCTCAAGTTCTTAAATAAAAATTCATTGTGTTTTGCTACGGCAGTTTAAAAAAAAAAAACATTTATTTAATTCGCAAATGTCTCAAAGTTCCAATATTAATGAATAATACTTTTCTACAAAATATTGCACAATAAAGTTTTAACAAAAACTGTCAGAAAATTCTATAGCAACAACAGCTGCAGCGTCAAACTTTCCGACGACACAAGCACTCATTTTAATATGTTTTTAACATAATCTGCTATATGTAATACACCATATTTCTCAGAGGCAATATGTAAATTAGCGCTATTTACATGCTCCGTATTGATATGCGGATTATGCAGCTCGGTTACGAGCGTGCTGCAGGCTGTAGAAGAATCGCCGGTGGACTTCAGCATTTTCTAAAAAAACAAAAATATTAGCAAAAAAGTTCAAATAATAAGATACACACTATTCACCATCCAAAACTCGTTGCCTGGCAAAGCATTGCCGTCCCAGGCATATGAGACGATAAGCAGCATATTCTCCAGCTCAGGGGATTTCTATAAAAAAAAATTAGTGCGGTTAGAAAGTAATGTTATACAAGTATGTCATAATGTGTTAGCAATCATCCATGCATGAATAAAATTAAGGGGTTAGAAGGAACTGCACTTACTTACAGTCCAAATGCTCCCATGCAAATGCCTACCACCTCAGTTCCCAACAAAAGTTAAACAAAAAAGTTGTATTACCATATTTATGCTCACCAGCTTATCTGCTGGATTGCGTTTTGACAAAAATGTACGTATACCGCCATTAGGATGTGTGGGCGACTTATAAATGCCACTGTGCTTCAGATCGCCCCATTCGCTAAGCTTGAACCAAGAGAAGTGCACCACACCGATATGCGACAATTTGGGCAACAACAGCTTTAAACGTTGCGCAAAGGTTTCCAAAAATACTTTCTCTTGTTGCTCGGCCGCGCGCCACACACCCAAACCAATGCCAACCACATGTATATAAGCTTGCTTGCCAGCAGCTGCCGCGCGTGCCTCGCTCTCCAGCAGCAACGTATCAAAGGAGATGGTGTAACGTTTCTTCATCAGCACATTATCGAATATGTCCTTTTGTGCACGCGCATTACCAAAACGTTTGCCATCAGGCGTCACCTGTTCATACAGATAATCACGCTCCTCATAGAACTGCTTCCATACGCGCCTGTAATCAGCGGGACGTGAATTTGTCTCCTCATCGATGGGCAAACCGTAACCATTTTCTTTGGTATTTTGTTTGCTGGTAATTATGATATCTTGGTATTCCATAACATCCCGTCGCACAAGTCGCGCGCCAATTAGACCGATTATGACACCGTCCGTTTCAATGCGCGATTTATTGCGTTCGATGACGCCACAATTCTGTCGATTGCCGTCGTTGAGAAACTCCGTGTGTGAAGATACGGAAAGAAATGCGGAGAGCTATTTGAGTGTGTGATAATTACGTTAGAAGTATGCTCAGTAAGAGAAAGCAGCACTTACCTTGATTTCATCGTAGCAGAGCACGTCTTCTAGCAGCAACGGTGGTTTCTCGGCATCCGTGCCAATATCCAAGAAGCCACTGCAGCCGCGATGGCGTGATAATAAAAGATATTTATCGTTTTTACCGAAGAAGCTAACGCAGCGCTTCGCCAGCAGGCGTTGCACAAAATCGGTGAGCGTCAAATTTTGGTATAGCTCAAGTTCGCGTTTATTTCCTGCAATTTTGGGTATTTCTTATGTATTCACACAAATAATTATAGCACTTTAATTTAATATACAATTTGGAATGCCAAGTTCAGTAAAAAAAAGTATACGTATGACATATACAACTGCTTAAAGCAACATGTGTTTTCCTGTTCTTGCACAAAAAAAAGTAATCTTTGTTCTCTTGTGCATATGCATTATTCACCAAAAAATTACTACAACAAATTAATTGTTGGAAAAATATGGGTAAGTGCTCGTATATGTATGCTTAAAAAAAGGCAAATAAAAAAATAATAATAAACAAAATATGTATATTATATATAGTATATGCATATATGTATAAGAAAAATTATTATTGTATAATGTTTTTTTATATTTAATCTGTTCTGTTATCACTAAGCACCCAAACTGCAGCGTTTGATCGCTACATAATTGTATTTATGTATATATTTTACAAGCTATTGCGAAATGATAAACAGGTTTTATGTGTATGTTGCAGTAAAGTGCCGGCATATTTGTAAATGCATGCATTAAAAATAAATAAAAAACTTATCGACGTTTTTTTTTTATCTACAAGCACTTAAACTTCCTTTAATCTACAGCGTTTGATCACTTCGCTAATGTGTTTATATTTTTACATTGAATTGCGAAATGTTTAACGTATGTAAAAACTGTCATATTTACATACCATATTTGCATTTGTGTTCCAAGAATGCTAGATACAAGCCCAAAACTCGTTCATGTATTATTGGATAGGCAGAAGCGATTTGTTTCTCAATTTCCGGATAACGCTCTTTCGGTTGGCTTATTACACGACAGGTATTGGTGCCGAACTGTGGGTATAATAATTTTAAATATTTACGGCTACTTTTATGTTGCAAATCCATACGCACCTCTACGGGAAAGTTAGACGACTTCTTGATGAAGCTTTTAATGTCTATATGGCTCACAACCGGCTTTTCGACCTTCAAACACTTTTGTAATAAATTTGTACCAAACTCCGTTAATTTTATAGCTGTACCCGGCTTTGGCCAAACCTCCTCAAATTCTGCACCAAAAGTTGACATACTCGCTTTAATTCCAAAAGTTTTGCTGTTGTCGTGATAATTTATATACGGAGTTTTGTTTGTAAATTTTTGTTGACTTGTTGTGTTGCTTAAATGACGTAGAATGCTTGGTTGGGTATTATATTATTTAACAACAATATAATTTTATTCGTCAATGCGTGATTTGTTTATGCTATAAGT